AAAAACGAAACGAAGCTACACGCTAGATTCTCAAGGTGGCAAAGAGATGACCAGTCATCTTCACGATGCAATGAGTCCGCTACTGATTTTTTTCAATAGTTTTATAACTTTATGATCTATTACTTTATCGGTGGACGGGTTTAAATATTTTAGCGATGTTAATTGCGCCATCTCGATCTAAGTGCCGGTTGGTCTAGCTTTGACCAATGAGAACATCTTCAAGTTGGCCAGTGAGCCCCTTTGATGTGACTTTAGAAATCACGGATAATTTTCCCTGCTCTGATTTGTCCAGATGAATTAGAGTCTCATCTTATACCCCGCCGTGTTCCTGCCCAGGAATGAATCCTATCAACTGGGCTGGGCATGCCACCTCTAATGCGTTGTTCCTAAGAATTCTCCGTGTAATTAAAAAGTTTGTACTAATGTTCCCAATGCAAGAAGCACCACGTTTTACTTGACCCCTTCGATATCATCTCTTTGTATCCCATTGAAAACCTCCAATGCCAAGGACATGGCTTCTATCAAGGACGACAGAAGGAAAAGACCCCGTAATCAGCCACGCGCTTTATTCCTCATTCAGAGCACAGCAGCATCCGCACCGTCCGTCGTACGCAGACAAATGGTCGTTGCTAACGGGAGTTTTTTTACACTCGAAATCTTTTGCTGTAATGTCTCATCTCTCCCATTTTAATCGACCACATGTCCAAGTGTGAGATTTCACAGCAACTGCCCGAACTCGCTCTCTTTTTAAACCCGGATTTTACCTTCGTTTCACAAGTTACTCTGCATTTAACGATCAACTGTTATTCTTAGGTTCAAGTCTTTGGGAATTTACTTGGTGCAAAGAAAGTTCCTTTGGTTGGAATCATCATTCTTACTTACCTTTCTATCTGACTCAGAAGTAATGGTTGCATTTCACCAAACTCTTCTGTGGTGCTTGTTAAAAGAGTGAGCTTATTTTCTTTCCATTTAATATCATGTTCTGAATTCCATTAATCCGTTCCCTAATTGTGGATCACTCTGGTATTTCTGAGATAGATAAGATTTCATCATGGGGTATGAATTCTTCATCTACGGTGGGGTTTCAATGTTCACTTAAGGAAAGAGTTTTGCATTAATATTTACGTAGGGGACGGCCCATCTGAATGCATGCCATTTTCTGACTTCCTGGTCGTGTCGGGTTTTAATATCAGAGTTAACCTGCCTTTATAATACTCGATACAAGCGTTCCTTCTTTTTATGGGGTCGGCTTAATCCCCTAGGGAATCACAGTTCCTTTAAAGTTCAATAGCACCGAAATTCCCATTCCCTTCTAGAATGGGAAAAGGCCTATGAAATGACCCTCGTCTTTCCCTTTGTAGGTAGGTAGAGAGGCTGAGGGAGTGATGGAAATTCTTTCTCCCTTGACTCTCAGCGTTTCCACATTTCGCCAAGAAAGAGACGTCCGTCCGTCCGTCCGTCTCGTTTCTAGACGGCGAGGCCGGTTCTAAGGACATCACACGTGGTTCTTGTCCTCGTCGGTAACTGCCGACTCATCTCTGGCTTCTTGTGAATCACCGTACCCAGAAACATACTGCAAAAAAGTGCGAAGCTGTTGCTCAATCTAATTTGACGGTTTTATTGTGGATACTGACCAATCAGTAGAAAGGAGGCTACTGATGGGGAGACTCTGAGCTTGTGGAAGAAGCCCTGGATCAACAGGGGTCCTAGTACAGGAGCCAAGAACGGGCAGGGGAGGGATTCAGGCCTG